CGATCCCGTTATGGTCCGATATAACGGAAAGAATGGATTTCACAGACATAACGGCCGTTACGGCTCCGTAATAGCCCCCGTAATGGTCGTTTTGACCCGTTACAACCCAAAAAAAAAAAAAATTTGAGCATAAAACCCAAATTTTAGCCCCAAAAATTGATTTCATCTAAAACTCAAATTCAACCTCCGTCTCCCATCTTCCTTCATTCACTCAAATCTCAAATACATGGTTTAGATCTAAAAAATCTTTCAAATAATCACTTAAAAACACACCTGTATATCCAGATCTAACTTTCTTGAGGTGGTTTTCAAAATTATGTCCTCCTCTGCTCGAAAGAGCTGAACTTGAACTCTGACAGTTGGACCAATGATCAGATCTGAGCTCTCCAATGTTTGATCGCTTCTTGGCGTGGTCGCTGCTTGCTTCGGACGATCGAAGACGAGTGGATTTTGGCTGCAACGCTCCATTGGAATTTCTCACTTCTCTGGTAAACACTCCAGTCCAAGCCACCCACCTGGTCCGCCTCTCTTTTCTTCTTTTTTTTTTTTTTTTGTGGTTGTGAGGATATAACGTGTGGTGTTCAGCCATCAGCCACCTTTTTTTTTTTTTTTTACTTTTTAAACTCTACTTATCTATGCACTGTGCACATCAACTACCGGCCCCTTTTTTTTTTTAACTTTTTAAGATCTATATATCCTATAGATTTCAACCACCGTCTCTCTCTCTCTCTCTCTCTCTCTCTCTCTTTTAAAAAAATGTAGTGTTGTCTTGTCCATTTAAATATTATAATGTTATATTGAGATATATTTTTGATCAAATAAAATATGTGTTTAATTAAAAAAATTTAATAAAGTTTATTAATTATTTTAATAGAGTTTAAATAGGTATCACAATTAAGAATGTTAATCTTGTCATGTTCATATCAAGACCCACGAAAAAAATAATTATTGTGTTCTAAGTATTAAATATTAGTCTAGACTATTTATTATGCTTATTTAATAATCGAATCAATTTTAAATATTTCTATATGTGTGTCACTGTGTGTCTTACCATTCACTAATTTTATTTGGAGTAGATAGAACATATAAATTAATATTTTAATCCATTTAATATATTGAGTTATTATTCCGACATGACGTATATTTTTTTTTGTGACAGAATTGAAAATGCCTCGACATGGCCCAGAAGAAGGTTCACAAAGTAATCTCAGTGATGATATCGGTTGGAACTTTGCGATAATGGCTACCAATAGACATGATGTAGTATATATATTTTGTAAAAAAATCATTAAAGGTGGTATTGAACGAGTGAAAGAGCATTTGGCAGGAAAAATAAGCAATGTAACATCGTGCCCAGACGTGCCACGAGAAGTCAGAGAACAGATGATGAAACATCTTCAAGAAAGTAAAGATAAACAAAAAAGGAAGGAAGAATTGAAATTCCATCTGAATGAGACAGTGGTTGGGGATCCTAGGTATGTGGACTTGGGTGATGATTCAGATTCTGATCCAGAGATGGCGTTCACGAGAAGAGAAAGTGTGGCACAATATCAATTTGAAGAAAGTCACAGACGTAGAAGTGTACATGTGCCACAGTATAACGTAGGAGGTAGGTCCAGAGGTGGGGGTAATTTTAGAGGTAAAGATGGAGGTAGGTTAAGACGATCTCATTCAGTTCGTGAGCAAGATGTTGATGGTAGTGCTCGGCATTGGATTAATTATGATACTCCTGAAGCTAGATTAAGGGAAATGGATCCTGATCTTCTGAGAAATAAAAGTTCTAAGCAGCCAAAGATAAATTCAAATCACCAAAAGATTAGAAGGGAAAGGTTAGGAGATATGTTTTCCAAATTCATGTTATATAACCATTTGCCTTTTCATGTAGCAGACTCTCTTTGGACTCAACCAATGCTTGATGTTGCTACTGAAGTAGGAAAAGGGGTTAAAGGTTCGAATTCTTATGAGGTGTTTGAGATATATTTGAATAAATAAGCTAATGCAATGAAGGAGTGGATTAAGTCTTTTCGACCAACATGAAAAAGAAGGGAGTTACTATCATGTGTGATGGATGGACTGGTCAAACACGAGATCACATCATCAACTTCTTGATATATTGTAATAAAAGTAAAATTTTTTATAAGTCTGTTGATGCATCTAATGTAGCAAGTAGGACTTCAGATTATTATTTTCATTTATTAGATATGGTTGTTAAAGAGATTGGACAAGAATATGTTGTTCAGATAGTGACTGACAATGAAGCAGCTCTTAAGGCTGTTGGAAAGAAGTTGATGGAGAAAAGACCATATTTGTATTGGACAGCGTGTGCAGCACATTTTATTGATCTTATACTTGAGGACATTTCAAAAAAAAAATTTGTTGCAAAGGTTCTAGATGATGCAAAGTCTATCACAAGCTTCATTTACAATTATCCAAGGGTATACCATTTGATGAAAAAATATACAAATGGTAAAGAATTGTTACGCCCTTCAATTACCAGATTTGCCACAAATTTCATTGCACTTGAGAGCATTATTAGGCAGAAAGATAACCTAAAGGCTTTGTTCACTTCTGATGGCTATAAGGCAACTAGTTTTGGGAAAATGAAAATCGGCCCTCCTAGTGATGTAAAAAATTTGATTATGGGCAAAGACTTTTGGAAGAGAGGTAATGAAGTTCTGATTGTTCAAGAGTCATTGGTTAGGGTGTTAAGGTTAGTAGATGGAGATGAGAAACCTACAATGAATTTTATATATGAAGCAATGGATCGAGCAAAATTGGCTATTAAAAAAGATTCTCGATATTGGGTTGACTATTGGAAGATTATTGATCGTCGGTGGTCTGTTCAGTTACATCATGATTTGCATGCTGCTGGTAAGTATGGACTACAAAGTTATGTTTTTTATATAACTGTATGAAATTTGCATGTTTTGTGTGGATAATTAAGTAGTCATAATGAACTAAAAATTAATATTTATATATGAGTAGGTTACTTCTTGAATCCACAATTCCAGTATACTACTACCAGCTCTAGGGAGACGTTCCGAGAAACAATGGATGGAACGCAGAAAATAATACAAAAATCGGAGCCGAACATTGAATGTCAGATTAAGGCAATAAATCAGGTATATAGTGCTTGTTTACTTACAATTTTATTTATTATTTGAATGACATGTTATCTAATACACATTATTTCACAATTATAATGGATGTAGATGTTTTTGTTTCGGGATAAAGCAGAAATATTTGGATCAAATATTGCGCAAGCAGCAATTAACAAAACAAATCCTGGTAAGTTAAGTTACAATTTTTAATATGTAGTCAATGTATATTTATTCATTTGTGAATTCATCAAAATTTATTTTATGCAGCTGAATGGTGGATTCTTTATGGCTCATGTGCTCCTGAGCTTCAAAGTATAGCAGTTAAGGTACTAAGTCAGACTACTTTATCTTCTGGTTGTGAGCGTAATTGGAGCACATGGAGTCTTATTCACACCAAGACGAGAAACAGGTTGAAATATGCTAAACTCCAAAAGCTTGTTTTCATTCACTATAACATGAAATTGAAAATTAGGCATACTATGTGAAAGAACCAGCAAGAGATTGAGAATAGCTTTAATCCTATCAATTTGAATTACATATTTCATGAAGATGATCCCCTAAATCCATGGTTAGAAGAAAGGGAAGAACCATTGATGCCCTTGGATAAGGAAACTCGCTCTTGGATGAATTCTTTTGGTGAAGATGATGATAATGAATGCATACCTCTTTCTGAGTCACTTGATAACCAAGGCTCTGATTCTAGTCCTGCGCCAACTGAAAGCGATAATGGTGGTGGTAGTGACAATGATGATGGTGGTGGTGGTGGTGGTGGTGATGATGATCGTGATGGGAGTCATCGGGTCACTAGTCTAAACCAAATTTATGGTTATAATTGTGAGGGTAACCTTCCAGCTCAGGGTGATACTAGTGGTCATTGTCATGATTCACCGTTTTGCAGGGATCATGGACTTAGTGTGGTTAGAATTGATCCAGAAGCTTATGGTCAAGAATCACGGCGTGGAAAAAAATCAAGCAGAAATACGAGAAATTGGAATGAATATGAAGATTCCTCGTCTAGTGTTATGCAGAGTTTGAGTGATCTCACCCTTAGTGATTCATCATATGGTAGTGCTAATGAAAACTACCACTCATCAGGCTATCCAACTAGAAATTATAGGCCCTACCCTTATAGTTATTCTCCTCAACATTACCCTCCATCGTTACATCCCCAAGATAATTCTTTAGGGCTTTTGAACCCTAACAATTACTTGACATTGCATACATATGGAGAGCAGCCACTACAAGATGGAGTTGAATTGGGAATATTTACTTATATGTTGCCCACAGGATGGAATGATGATAATGGAGGTAATCAAGATCAATCTCAATCTCAATGTTTGGATCCTCCGCGTCGTTCTTTTTGGTGGTGAGATTGTTGAAAGGTAACACTATTTCTTTCTCTTTTTTATTGTATTGTACTATTCTAAAAATTATTTTGGTTCTATCAATATGTTTCATTTAATAAATTGTTAGATTTATAATTGTGCATTTCATTTGTTCAATTGTTGCTAATGGAAATATCACGGTTGCATAGTGACTTAAGAAATATTATTAATACTTATGATATTTTATTATCATGTTTATGATACAATAAAATGCACTAAATCACTAAACACCTATATTTGCATGATTTTAAGTTGAAATATGTAAATATTCATGTTTTATAGGAGGTTGTAAGTTGAAAAAAAAAATTCACACATTCGGTTTCCGTTACCGTTACGTAACGCCTGTTTCACTCCGCGTCCGTTACAACGTTACCGTTACCGTTATGGTATCCGTTACCGTTATTCAGAACCATGATTCTAATAGTTAGGAGACTCTTCGAGAGTTACTCAGAGAATGGCACCATGAGTGTCAATCACTTGCAAAGTTTTTTAATAGATTTCCAAAAGGAAGATAATGCAATGGACGAGAAAGTCCAAGAGATATTCAATAGTCTCAAGCACCTCAATATCTTCCAATGTAAAGACATCCATCTCGAAGCTTTCTTTCGATATCTCATTGGAGATCATAATTTGGCAATCTCACCATCTCTTGGGGTAATCTTTCACTCATTTTACTTTCTCTCTCTCTCTCTCTGTGTTTATGATTCTGGCAATCTTGCTCTTTCACTCATTTATCACGCCATTTGCTGCAATATAAAGCAAGAAATTTGTGCTAATGAACTGACTTCCATTGCCCTACTTAACAACCATTAGAATTTTATTTGTTCTGCATTGAGTGATGCTATTTCTTTAAATCTGTAGGACGCTGACTACTCCGGTCCAACTTATCAAGTGTCTGCAGGCTATTAAGGACTACGCATTTTATGCTTCTGAATATCCTGTTGTAGCAACTTTTGAGGACCACTTTAATTCAGATCTTCAAGCTAAAGTGGCTCAGGTGAGTAAAACCCTACTACATGAATTTTAAGCCGGTCTTAAAGTTTTGGAATGAGTTGTCTTTGTGAGTCTATGGCTGTATTTTGTTTTTAATTAGATGGTCACTAGAACATTTGGAGACATGTCGTTCTACCCTGAGTCAAACCTAAAGGAGTTCCCTTCACTAGAATTTTTGAAGAAAATAATTTTGATCTCCACCAAACCACCAAAAGTATTCCGTGAGTTTCAGCGTATGGAGGTAAAAGGGAATACACAGAAGGTGAAGGCTTCAACAGAGGAAAAACCTTGGGAGAATGAGAACCTAGCTGTTGGCAATGAAATCAAAACTGATGACACGGTGAATGTGAATAGTGTCAATTTTTCTTTGACAGTTAGTGCACTGCATGTCACCAACTTAATTACAGTCTCACGATTGTTGACAGGATGAATCAAGCGGAGATGACTAAGATGTGCAAGATTCAGCTCTGGAACGTAGGCGTTTAATTGCTATTCATGCTGGGAAATTAAAAAGTGAAATTAGAGGCTTGCTAAGCATTGGTCCTAATAAAGTTGGACGTCTCAGTTTGAGCGAGCAAGAGTTTGAAAATACTGCCAGAACATATGGACCCCATATCGTCCGGTAACTTGTTTTTTTATCAGCTTAAAAGCGGAACTTGGTATTAGAAGTTGTTCCTGTATATTTAGTTGTCTATTGCATGAACTGTCTATTTCAACCTTAAAGTTTGGTCAGTTGTGTGTTTTAAAGCAAAATATTCTGGATTGGACCATTGTTTTCCCTTTTATAATCCTTATTATTGCAGACATTGAAAGCTAAATTTTTGTTGATTGTATTGTTATTTCAAAAATCAGTATATCATAAATAGTTGGTGATTCTCATGAGGTTCCCCATACATCTAAATGGACATAATAAAGTATACTGCATCAGTGCGTTGAATATTTAATCAATAATGTCAACCAGCTGACTAATATACGGTCCAAAATCTTCTTTTTGAATGGGGAAGTTTCGACTGAGAAGAAATGTTTTTATGTGAAGACTAAGGGTTGATTGGAGAGTGTTTTTGTATTATTGAATGTAATCAATATGGTTCTTTTTCTTGTAAGTTCAATAAAGAAGGGTTGTTGTGGCTGAAGGAGTTTATTTGGAATGTTATTCAATGGAATAGGAAGGATGTGTTCTTGAAAAAGTACAAAGGTAATGGCTTTTGTCTTTTGATGTAAATGGACTCTAGTAGATTTGGTGACTTTGTTAGAGTTTCTAAGGTGATGAATAATGGACGGAGAATAGGATTGATTATTCCAAAAGGAATTGTTGAAAGGGGATGGGAGATTTTTGAAAGGTTGTTAGTGGATGTTCTATATGGGCATAAGCGATCTCTATTTCGAAAGGATAATAATAGAGGAGCTATGGTTGAGAATGAAAAGATGCATCAGCTAGGTAACAGTAGATAGAATTCTCTGGATGCTACTGTCCTAAAAGGTGATGAAATGATCTATAAAGAATTTCAAAAATGGAAGAATGTTGTGGTCTGCATCAAGGAATGTTTTTTGCACCCCTGGTGAATGATTCAATGTAAACTTTCAAAAATTTTGAATTTTAAAATTTGTTTGAAACCTTTTCAAGCTGGCAAGGCCATCTTTTTTCTCCAAATATTTTGAGGGCCAAAAATATTTGCTAAAGGAAAACAAGTTTTTGTTGGACTCTGTTACTGTGAAGCTTAAAAAATAATGTCTGGAATCGAATTCAAACCAGAGCATAGTGTTGTTTATGGGTGAGTGGATATGTGGAATCGAGATGTTTTTATACAAATTGAAAATTGTTGTGGTTTTATAGAAATTGATTGTGAAATTGAGAATTGTGAGAATCTCTTTCAAGCAAGGCTTAGGGTTCATAAACCCCATTTTGGCCTGTTGAGGACATTGTGGACTATTGAGTTTGATGGGAAATCTTTTTCATTAGAATTAGGGTTTTCCAGAATACAGGGAGGTTCAATAGGGATGAGCAAAAGAGATTATTTGGAATAGATAGCACCAAAAAAGGATTCTACGATCATGAGGTTGAAGATAAAGCAAATAGGGTTTTGATGGGGTACGTGTCAAAACGGGAGGAAGGGGTATATAGAAGTTAGATGTTGTGAAAAGAAGTCAAATGGAAATATCAATTAACTATAAGAATGCTTTAATTTAGGTGTTTAATTGCGGCGGAGAATATACTAATTACAAAGGAAAAGGAGATAAAGGATGTTTAAATGCTAACTTTAAATTTAAATTTGCTTTGAAGAAGGGTTTGTAGCTTGTTAATAAAACCAAATCGGGGGGCTCTTAGGAAATGGGCAATACTAAACACTTTGAAGCCCATGGAGTTAGGCCTGGTCGAGGTGGGCTGAGATCTTTCATTATAAATCCAACAAGTGCATCTGATGGTCTTAAAAGGTTGGGTCCAGTTATTATTAAAGAGGCGGGAAAAGTGGGCTTGGGGTCTGAAAAGGCCTAATGTATTAGCCTAAAATATGGTTCTTCTCAAGCGACGTCTTCTAGGGCTATCCAAGATTCGCTCGATGACGATTCGGTGAGGTGTGATGACAATGCCGATGACCACAAGCGAAATTCTGCCATGGGTTCTAAGTCGAATGGATCAAAAAGAGTGGAAATGGATTCGGATTTAGTTGTGAGAGGCAGGGATGACGGGGATGAGATTTTCATAGAAGACTTTGGCAATGAAGCCAAAGATGAACAAAGAACGATGGCTTTGGATATGAAAAGTAGATTCAACAACTACGAGACTCAAGTTTCAAGTTTGAATGAAATGAATCATAGAGGAATAGAGGCAGAATAGAAAATGGGATCTATGGCAAGAGTATTTTACAAGATACTTAACTAAAATACGGTACAATGATTTGAAATAAAGTTTAGAAATTATTTTATTACTTAATATTATATGAATTTGATTTACTATATTGATTATAGTGAAATCTTTCTTCCATAATTGGATTTTCAATTAATCACTTTTATTTATTTTTCCTTCGTTTCATCTTCTTCCTTTTGGATCAAATAAAGTATACCACCAATGACCCTATTTCCTTTATGGTGTAGAAAGAAAATTAAGGAACCGCAGATATTGGCAAAATTACAATTATTGTTAATCAAGGAAAATAATACACGGTAAATAAAAGATACACTTGAACTAGAAATATTTGTGCTTGAAAAAAAAATGTTATTTTTGAGCACAGATTTTATCGGTAAAAAAAAATTAAATGGATTCAAGTAGAATTTTATGGAATGTTTCAAACAATTTTATGGACCTTTTCAAATGATTTTATGGTTGATCTTGTTTAATCCAAAGCTGGTGCAAGAGATCTCATAGAAGTATCACCGGGAATAACTCGAGATAAGAAAGCATCAAGCAAGAAAAGGCTTTTACTAAATAAAGCCGGTACTCCTAAGTAATTAAAGGGCTACGGCTTTCTCAAGCAATCAAAGTGTGAATCCCTAGCTTGGTTCGTTCATACGATTCTTTATCTTTAATTGATTATCCATCAATTTTGTTGTTTTCACCTTTGTGGGTCATATGGGAATCTAAAGTGCCTCTTAAGGTACAAATTTGTGTATGGATAATTGCTCATGGTAAGCTTAATGCTTATGATGTGCTTCAAAGAAGAAGACTTAATATTTGTCTTTAACCACAATGTTGTGTTATGATGATATATTTGGATGTCTGTAGTAGGGTGGGAATAGGAAATAAAAAAACACTTTGGTGTTGTGCTTGTAATGCTATTGTTTGGGTGTATGACAAATGTGCAGAGGTTGAAGAACTATAGGAACGACTTTACTTTTTGGCTTCCTTTTAAGCGTCTATAGCTAAAGAGTTTGAAGATATCTCTCTTTCTTGCATTATTTTGAGTTGGATTGCAACATGTGGAATGTAGTGCTACTGCATGCCCATGCATGAGTTTTTTTTTTTTTTTGTTCTTGTTTTTTTTCATGTTTTCGTATCTTTGTTTTTGGATATCTTGTCCAACTATGATTCGTCCTTCATAATTTTTGGTTTTTTAATGAAATCATTTCTTATAAAAAAAAATAATGTCAGCAGACTAATGGTAAGGTTCATGATTAATAAAATTTACAATTAAACTGGTAATTGTATGTTTCCTTCATTTATGAGGCTTGAGCATCTGATAAGTGCGCGAAAATGCATTTTAAATACCCTATTATTGGATTAAATTGATAAAATATGAATACAAATAATTAGATATAATTTATATTATTAAATTTAATATCTATTCACACTGAGATATAATTGAGCATGATTTTATAATATTTTAAATCTTAAATATTGCATTATTGGTTAGTGATAAATAATTTACAATTGGGCTTTACATTTAATATTTTTGAAATTTTATTATTGGGCTTTTATATTTGTTTTTTCTTGATGGCAGTCCATGGAATAAAAAGACTGAAATTGATGTTGCGGTCACGTGGGCCTGGCACTTATAATTTTTATTGGACTTTATCTTCTTCAAATTACACAAAAGTTGGGCTTTGGGGCTGAAACAGAGAAGCTGAAATAAAGAGGAACTAAAGTGAAAAGGGCTAGAAAAAGAAAGGAAGGAAATGTAATTTTTAAAAAGGAGTTTGACTTTAAAACCTATTCTTTTTCTCTGGTGTATGGCGGCTGGAGAAGAAAAGAAAAAGAAAAGAGGAGGCGGCTGGGCAGAAGAAGACGAACGCCAATCAAGAGTATAAATAATTCCGATGGCTGCCAGTTTGTTTAATTTCTTTGGGAGATTTTTGTTGTCCATCATATTTATGGGTAACTAATTTCTCAAGTAAGGCTAGGGATGAATTTGCACAGTAGATAGTATTTTAATTATTTTTCATTTATGCAGTTGATTTTTATTTACTAAAACTCTTTTGTTTTATCATTCTTAATTTATTGCTGATATTTTCTTCTACAAATAATCATAGAATTTATTCTATTTATGGATTCAGTCATGTTTTTTCTATTTAATTGATTAATTCTTTGATTATGTTTGGACCAATTATTTATCTATATTGATTTAATTTTTTACTGCAACATTGCTTTCTTGAGTATATTGTCGTCGTTGGATTTTCTCAATAGTAATAATAATTTACATATTTTAAAAGTGGTGAATGATTTTTCAAAGGTTATATTGGGTTTAATCTTAGTTTATAAATCTATATCTTCCGGTTGGAAATTTTGGGAATTAAATTCTCAATTGAGTTATTCAATGAATTAAGAATAATTAAAATATTAAATTTGTGCAAGGGATTTCCGACGTTTTACTGTTTGTCAAATTTGAATACTTTTTCTGTTAGTCACTTGTTTCACTTTAATTTGCATTTAAAATTAATCTTTATTATCTAGTAGTCATTTAATATTCTTCTTTAGTTTCTTTGTTCATTCTATTATTCTTTTAATTTGTCTCTCTGTGGAATCGACACCCCAAAGCTATGCTACAATTACCGTGTTATTCTTTGGGCATAACCAAAATTTGGCGCCGTTGCCGAGGAGACGGTAGAAGAATTGGTAGATAGTTTTTCTTTTCAACAGTCTGCAAAAGTGGTAACTTCGTTCCTTCTTTTAACTTGCTGCATTATTATCATTATTATTATTCTTTCTTTTTATAGTATTTTTATTCTTTTAGTATTACATTGCCTCACATACACAGATATAGGGACACCTTAGGTAGATTTGGTAGTAGGCCTTTGGTAGAATTAGAATCAGATTTTATAAATCATTTATTTGAAAATCCATTAAGTCCCGAAAAAATGGGTGAATACGAAAATTAACCCATTAGAACTCTTCATGATTACCTCCACCCTACACGCATAGCCACACCATCATGCGTCATGTTTCCAGCTAATACTCGCCAACTGGATTTTAAAATAGGGATGATACAATTACTCCCTAATTTTCATGACTTGGAAAATGAAAATCCATATGTGCACATTAGGGAGTTTGAGGAAGTAGTTGCGACTTTTCATAATCAAATTGCACTTGATGATGTTGTGAAACTTAAGTTCTTTCCTTTTTTTTTGAAGGATAGAGCTAAGAGTTGACTACATTCACTGAGACCACGATCTATTGGGTCATGGAGTGAGATGACTCAGGTCTTCTTTAATAAATATTTTTTTCAACATAAGACCAACGCTTTAAAAAGACAAATCTCCACCTTTGCACAAAAGGATAGTGAGACCTTGTATCAGTCTTGGAAGAGATTTAAGGAGTTGTTGAGTGTATGTCCTCACCATGGGTATGAGAATTGGCGCTTAGTGAGATATTTTTATGAGGGACTTACACCTAGAGAGCGTCAATTTGTGGAGATGATGTGTAATGGTGAGTTCTTACAAAAAGATCCTGATGAGGCCATAGAATACCTCAATGAGCTTGCTGAAAAAGCTCATACTTGGACTGGACCTAGTGCTACTGAAAGCACAGATAGGTCACGAACTGCAGGAAACCCAAATGGTGGTGGAATTTACCATCTCAGGGAAGAGGATAGCCTAAAGGCTAAGGTTGAAATGCTCACTAGGGAGATAGATATGTTAAAGACTAAGTACTTAAAGCCAACACACGTGGCTAATCATGTAGAGTGTTTTGGACCATGTTTTGTGTGTGGCGGGGTATATCACCTTGCCCGAGAATGTCTCACACTCGCTGAGATGAGAGGGATGTATGAGGAACAATGTAATACCTTAGGTATGTACAAGAAGCTTTTACACCTTACTCTGATACCTATAATTCAGGATGGCGCAATCACCCCAATTTTAGCTAAAAGTCTGAAAATCAACCGCCTGCACAACCCCCTAAATCATATCCTGCACCTTATCATGCACCTTCATCTTATAGGAATCCTTTAGAAGACACTTTGCATGCTTTTATTGACACACAGGGTAAGACTAACCAAAAGTTTGAATCTTTGATTATGCAGGTCGTTGAAGAAAACAAAGAGATAAAGAGTCAAGTGTCCAAATTGATGAGCTCTTTGAGTGTGATGAGCGAAGTAAGTTCCCTTCTCAAGCTCAGACCGCACCCCAGGGCCAACACGCGCAAGAGAATTTGAAGGATGTAAATGCCATTGTAACACGAAGTGGTGACTCATCAATGGACAAATCAGAGGAGGTGGAAAATGATCAAGATAATAGTGATGCTGAGCTGCCCAAGGAACCTGAGGTAACAAAGAGTCTTGTTAAGGTACCATTTCCTCAAGCTTTAAAATCAAGCAAGCGAACTCTGGATCCAAACAATGAAATCCTAGAGAATCTAAGCCAGGTAAAAATCAATCTTCCTCTTTTGCATGTGATTAAACAAGTTCCTACTTATGCAAAAGTTCTCAAAGATTTGTGTACAGTTAAGAGGAAGCACCATGTGAAGAAGACAGCATTCCTGACAGAGCAAGTTAGTGCTCTAATTGAGCAGCGGATTCCTCCCAAGTACAAGGATCCTGGTTGTCCAACCATTGCATGCAACATTGGGAACCATGAGTTTGGACAAGCTTTGTTAGATTTAGGAGCTAGCGTGAATCTAATACCATATTCTATTTATTTGCAGTTAGGGTTGGGAGAAATCAAACCAACCACTGTGGTATTGCAATTGGCTGACCGTTCAGTCAAAGTACCTCGGGGTGTGGTAAAGGATGTTCTAATTCAAATTGACAAATTTTATTATCCTGTTGATTTTCTAATCCTCGACACTAGCTCTGTTGTTGATACTACTTCTAAAATTCCTTTGATTTTAGGTAGGCCTTTTCTTGCCACTGCTAATGCTCTTATTAATTGCAGGAACGGGCTCATGAAGCTGTCTTTTGAAAACAT